CAAAGAGTTGTAACTAATAAGAAGTGCACTCACTCAAGTTGGGGTAAGATTATCAATGGTGTTCTCCAGGGATCACTCTTAGGTCCCTTGTTGTTTTTGATATACATTAATGATCTGCCAAATATTATAAAGAGTAAATCAATACCTATTCTCTTCGCGGATGATACCCGTATTATTGTTAAGAACTCTAATCGTATTGAGTATGAAAATGAACTACATTTAATATTGAAAAATATAAATGAATGGTTTAAGGCTAACTTACTGACACTGAATCTCAATAAAATGTATTTTATGCATTTCTCAACCAAGAATAGTAATACAATGGCCATACCTATCATTTATAGTAACAGTCAAATTGCTACAACCCCTGATATTAGGTTCCTCGGTCTGATGACTGATAATACCCTATCATGGAAAGGACACATTGACTGGCTCATGTCCAAACTGGGTTCAGCTTTCTATACAGTGAGGGCTATTAAACCCTATATGTCATTAGAATCAATCAGATCAGTATATTTTTCATATTTTCATTCTATTATGACATATGGTCTGATTTTCTGGGGTAATTCATCCCTCGGCATCCATATCTTTAGACTACAGAAGAGGGTAATAAGAGTAATCACCAATTCTAGAAGTAGAGATTCTTGTAGGGAGTTGTTTAAGAGATTAAAGATTCTGCCCCTTTACTCACAGTACATTTTTTTGCATTTTGTTATTTGTGGTCAAAAACAAGGAACTATTTTTATCTAATTCTGAGATTCATACAATCAACACAAGACATAGTAATAACCTACATTATCCTTCATGTAACTTAACTGTCTTTCAAAAGGGAACATATTATTTTGGAATTAAAATTTTTAATAAACTTCCACCTAATATAAAAGAACAAGCTCATGCGATTAAAAAATTTAGGTCTGCTGTTAAAAAATTCCTATTTTTAAAGTCATTTTATTCATTGGACGAATATTTTAACTGCGACAACAATTAAAGTTTCGGATTTGTTACAGGTGGTAGCTGATAGCGCCTTATTGTTATAGATAATGGTTTTTGTTTCATGTTGTATATTATTAAATTTAACTGGTATGACATTACACAGCTGTGTTGCAGTATGTGATTTACTCATGTGGACTATTTCTATATCCATTGGTGTTAAACCATGTAAGGATTTATGGAATGCTGAATAAATGAATGAATGAATGAATGAAGTTCAGAGCAGTCACTTAAACTTTCAATCCATATTATTATTTCTAACAAACTGCTATGCAAAATATATTAAATACACTGATTTTTTAAATAAAATATATAGATAACTTCCTTTCCTTGTTCCCAGAATCCCATTTCACCCATGCTATAATTTCAGCTGGTTCAGGACTTTTACTTCAAACACAACTCACAACAATCCGTACAGTTCTGGTGTAATACTAAAAAAAATACACTACTAATCAAATATGAATTATATTCATTGCTCTTCTTGTAAAAAACGACAAGTGTAGCATATACAGACTATTGGTTGGTACTTACTGATAATTAAAATGTAAGCATGAATGTAAGAAAATTCACTCCATAATGACCAAGAGAAAACAAACATAAAAGCAGAATATCTATTCTTCCCCATGAAATATTGTACCTGCATACAGGTATTAAACATTCATTTTTGCATTACTTTTTCAAAAGACACTACCATGAAAATATATTAACAGTAGACATATTAAATATGTCATAGCAGTTATGTCATCTTCATTAAATAAAATATATAGAAATGTAGAATGTCAACCTTATATGAGACATTGAAATATCACTGCTGTCTACCAGAACCAATGCAATGATGACAAATACACATTCAGTATACATGCTATGAAGCTCACCACTGCCTGATGCTTTTACAAAATGCATCTCATAACCTCACTTTTGGCAACTCTGTTTAAAACTGAAACTACTTTCTGAATGCTACACATTCACATACCGTAGTTCTTACAGGTAGACCAAGAAATATTCAAATTCCACACATCTTACGGCCAAATACGTTGTAAAGCACTGTCAGGTACATATCAAATTAAAAACGAGTTAAAACAATATTCCAGTGGCACGTTATATTACTTAATAATAAGTGGTTATTTTGTCATTTCAAAACCATAAATTGTTCTCTAACTTCTCGTACCGTACTGCAACTATGATACGGAGCAAACAACAAATAACCTCTGCAATAAGATACTATCACAAATAACACGCAACAGTTTTCAAATAAGGGTAAGTCTAAATTTTTTTAATCAGACTGATTTTACGGCTGATGGAAATTCATCAAACCCAAGATATGTTTTCTTCCCAGTGAAGTTTTATGCATACAAATCATGTACACATCTGACATGCAAAACATTATCCGAGTGTTTACACTACGCTGCAAAATATTCAACAGTATCTACCATTTTGTTTGAATGATATGCTAGCCTAATTTACTAGCAAAAATCCATCACACAATAACTCTCGCCGACAGCAGGAACAAAAGCAAATTAGCCTCTGATACTCGAGCCGCTCGAGGCTCTGCTTCCTAAATCTCGCAGAATTTATCGAAAAATCTCTTTCAATGTGAGTAACTCACCACATTGCCAGCAGTGGCGGTAGTTTACAAGTTACTGGTGTTCAAATTCGTAATATCAGACACCAAAATTTATTTTCGTATTCCTTGTTTATAGACTCTGAAGGTATAAATTCATATTACCCATTTCAATAACACTTTTGAGGTACAAGAGAGCATTACATGAACAGACGGCAAAGCAAAATCCATGCTGTTATGGACTCGAATGTTCACAGAAGTCTTCTGGTATCTACATATAAGTCAGCCTGATACAGTTAAAGTTTCCGCGGAATTCCGAACAAGATCGGCAGCTGAATAATTACAGGGTTTGGTGTCGGAATCTGCTAGTAATAAATGCCAAGAAATAGAAATCAAAAAAGGAAATAAAAGCTTGATAAAATCAATACAAAACAAAGTACTAAGAGTGTTCCATCAGAATATAAGAGGACTGAGAAATAAATCAAATGAATTAATAAGCTTCATGCATTCAAGTCTCCCGCACATACTGTGCCTTACTGAACATCACATGAAGCAACTGGAATTATAACATTTTCACATAGAAAATTATAATTTGGGAGCTAGATATTGTAGACAAACGCTAGAGAAAGGAGGAGTGAGTATTTTTGTTCATAAAAACGTGAAATTTACTAAAATAAATTTATAAGATTATTGTAAAGATCAGGATCTAGAAGCCTGTGCTTTAAAGTTAGACTCTACATTTTCTGATATTTGTGTACTGACTTTATATAGAGCCCCATCTGGGAATTTTGATCAATTCTTAGATAGATTAGAAACCATCCTCAATGTACTGCATAGTCCAAAAGTTGAATTTCTAATTTGTGGTGACATAAATGTAAACTATCTCATCGATAGTAACAGGAAACTAAACTTAGATTCTTTGTTATTATCTTACAATCTCTCCAGTACTGTCAACTTTCCCACAAGAATTCAAAATAACTCTAGGTCAGCGATAGATAATATATTCATTGATAACTCAAAAATAAGAGACTTTACTGTAGGACCCTTTATAAATGGCTTGTCCGATCACGAGGCCCAACTCATAGAAACAAATAATATTAACCTTCAGCCCAATAATCAACAATATAAAACAGTAAGGAAAATCAACAAGCATATGATTGCAGATTTTGTCACAAAATTAAATAATGAATCTTGGGACACTATATGACAGCAGTGATATTGATTCTAAATTT